GCAGCGCGTGGATCATGGTTAGAATATAAATATATGAAATTTATGATAGGTAAAAGTTGAGGTTAGAGACCTCAATGCGAGCCAGGTCGGTGGTTAGTTATGCTGAATGATACAAATGTTTTAAACAGTGACCTTTATGTATGTGTGTGTATGCACACATTTAACCAATCCCCGTTCTGTATCATTATCTTGGTGCTAATCGCAGCTTTAAAGGAAGGTTATAGATAAGTAAGTGCTGATTATCCTTGAAAAGAATGGAAAACGTTAAGATCGAACAACTTGTACTTTTCAGTGTTCACTTTGAATACATCTGATTCGGTCACATTTTGTGCTGACGCGATGTGTTCTGCTTATTTATCGATAGTCCAAACTTGTCTCAAGTAGCACAAGTTAATTTACCAAATGCTTAAATTGGAATGATTTCGAGCGTATGACTTCAACTTCAATCCGATATTCGTTTACTTCCTGTAGACTCATCCATCTAATTGACGGCTGAATTTGCATCAGAAGGCAATTTGTTGACCGGAATGCTTGCAGTGAATTGCAGTTTCTACGGTGTACACAAATTCTCACATCCCGAAATCACTCACAAACATAGACATTTTTAAATTAATCACCTCAATCTGTTGAATATTCGTTTTTAACTGACTTGCAATAATATTACGTGACAGTCAAAACTTCGTCACCAAAAGTTTGTTTTAAAGTGATATAAACTGTTGTGAATGTTATATTGTTAATGGCACAGCGATGTCGGTAGATAATTATATTCCCCGACGTTTCGGTTACCGTGGGCAGGTTTTACAATCATATATAAACTGTTTTTCTCTGTATGTCACCCACAGGTCAAAATGGATCTCAAATTGAACTCCTTTTCATGGAATCCCATGGAACCATTCATTTTCACTGCGGCATCAGAAGATTATAATGTCTACACGTACGATACACGATACTTCAAATTCCCCCGTCGTGTGTATCGAGGTCACACAAACGCTGTACTCGATGTGGATTATTCCCCAAGTGGCAGAGAATTTGTAACGGGCAGTTACGACTCTACGGTGAGTGAATGAGTGATAGGCACTCTTGTGAAGGTATTTGTTTTCGATTATTCCTCATATATGAACCATTTGCCTGTCCGTACCACTTATGGACACAACGAGAGAGAAACGAGACGGTTTTTTAACAAAAGTAGCACCCTAGTCAGCATTTCTCTACAAAGTACGTCTTCAAAACGATTATCTGGTTTGATAAAGGGTTTTTAAGTGACAATACTTGCGACGTTTCTTAGTGATTTGTGTTTCCTTTTCCCTGTTCCCGTTCAGTTGTGTCCCGTACAATAATAGCATGAGTTAGCTGGTGTCAGTTTTTTTTGTACAAAGTTATCATGGAGCACTGTTAATTTTAATTTTGTCTCCCATCAGTGCAGTTTAATGGTATTAAACCCTTTCAGGTTGTTGGGAGCACCTAGATGAAGAAGATCTGTCACCCAATGACCCATCAATGTTTCACAAATGCGCACAGCTGAAGAACTCGACTTATCAGTTCGGTCGATTCCCGTTGATCGATTCATGATCGATGGGCGATAATCGATCTTTTATTCTTGTTTTAATTTAAATCGTAAATAGACTTGTGTTCATGTTTCCTCTCACGAACTACTCTGATTCGCGTAAGCCCATATGAGATGCGATTATTTTGAATCAAGCGGAGGAACATTACACAGGATCAATTTGAAATTTTCTCCCAACTTTCATATTTTCGAAAGAAAATTATTTTTGCTACATTGTTTTGCTCTGGAAGGTATCTGAAAAGCTTATCAACCAAAGCGCCGAACAACATTGCGGTCTGATTGAACCTTTCAATCATTTCCTATTTTTAGTCTTGTATAAACTCTATTGGTATGGTTTTACTTTGACTCCGAACTGCTGTTTTCGAACTTTAAGTAGAGCCGTAACCTAGTCTTCTAATCTTTGTTGCCACAGTATCGTTCATTTGTCTGGAACTGGGTGAATCGTAGATAAACACAGTACAGGAAACTCAGCAAATGCATGTTACCCCCTAGATCGATTCATATGACCCATCCTAGTATAGCAATAGTGCTATCCGTGATCTTCATTAAGGTATGACGTCTTTCTATTCGCCTATTCATTCCATATTTCGTCTGACCACACATTTATAGGTCCGTTTATGGGATTGCAATCGAGCAGAGTCGTTTGATGTTTATCACGCGCGTCGGATGAAACGAGTTTTGGGAGTACGATTCACACTGGACACGAAATTTATCCTCACCTCGTCTTCCGATCAAAATGTACGCGTATGGAAGGCACATGCAAGCGAGAAAATTGGCCCGGTGAGTCCTCGCATTTTGCGCTTTCTCCATTCACCGTGTTTGTCCGCCACTTGTGTTTCCTGCAAATTCCTCCCCCCCCCCC